TCATTCCCACCCCTCCCCTGCTGGACACTTCTGGGAAGTTCCTAGGTGGTGGGTGGTGTAGATTACAGCTGAGAAATTAGTTCAGATCATGCAAATAAATAAGAGGAATAGGGAATCAGCATGGGGCTCTGTCCTGGCTTCCAGCACAAGCTCCCATCCCTGTTTCCAGAGCTTTTACTGGCATGACTTCAAATACCTTCGCCCTGAATCTCAGCAGTAAAGTGCCTGCAGGGATGAGAGAATTGCTTAGTGACTAGGGAAAAAGGCAGAGCCTGGCGCCTTCACCAGCTGGCTTCTTCTTTCTGGCCTTTTCCCCACCCACAGGGTGCTGTGAGGCTGGGATCAAGTGGCTGCAGGCGCTGGCAGGTGCTTATTCCATCCCATAACAAGGAAGGGCTCAGAAGGACACCTCTGGGAAGACAGCCAGAAGACAGCCTCTCCTCTGGGTGGGCAGCTGCGGTCTCCCATCTTCCCATGCACAGTCATCCCGGGTACTTGGGAAGAAAGGTACACTTGAAACCGATGCAGGGAGGGACCTCAGCAAAATATCTCTCTACTCTCCCTTAAGTGGAAGATGGTCTTTAAAGACTTCCCTAACATCAGGAAGTAATCTGGTGGCTCCCTTTGGATTCATGAGTGAAGAAAGAAATGTTTCAGATCTCACGGCAGTTGCTGTAGAGAGATAGAAAGAAAGCAAAGGGGGAAAGGTGAGGCAGGGTCAGAGAAAGGACGTAGGAACTTGAAAGTCAGACACTTGGATGAGGCCAGACCTTTGTTTAGGTGCCACAAAGTCCCTTGGCTCTTAAGGGGTAAGAAAGCATGGTCCCATTCTCTGGGGGAGAGGATGGAATGTTCTGAAATAGATCAAGCATAGATCCATGAACAATAATGAGAGATAAATGCTCCTAATTTCCTACGCTGGCCCTCCCATGTCTATCCTGGATGGGCCACTTTAAAAGAGAACTTCGCTGATCTTCATCATTGATCTCCTGAAAACTACCCAGCTGATAGAATGGGGACTGATCGATAAGGGTCATAGCAATTGTCTACGAGCCTATACTGAAAGGGAGCAGTTCCTTCCTAGGCTCGATTTCTCAGCCATTCTTCAGAACAACCTCTCTGCAGAAATGAGACAAAAGACTATTTGGAGTATCCGCTTTGACACAAACCTCAGTGCTCGGGCTGGTTCCCAGCACCGGCTATATGTCTGCTGTGGAGAACGGATAACCCTTTCGAGCTCACCAATGAGAAAACTAGCCTCAGAGATCTGAGTCCCTTGCAGAGTCAATAGTTGCAGCTAGAGATAGATAGAGCTATGGAGTACTTGACCTGGACAATGCCCTTCACTGGCTGACCCAGAAAAGGTGGATGTCCTAGAACAGACATGAGTACACAGAGTGGGGATGAACAAAGTCCAGTCAAACAGTGCGTGCAGCAGTGTTTGAAGGCTTCCTTTTGAGAAATGGAATGTTTTGGGTTAGTTGACTGGTCGGTTACTGGTCTTTACCCAGGACCCCACAAACATTAAGCAAGGGCTCTACGATGGAGCAGCATGCTCAGCCCTGGAATGTTTCCATTATGGATTTTGCAGCTTGTGTGGGATACAACAAAAAGGAAGAGCTGGGCTTTGGGTTAATTTTTTTTCTCCCACAAATGGTTATTAGAAGATTTTGGGGGCCCAACTCCAGCTAACCCCTCTTTCAAGGACAGTGAAAAAGTGTAGTTTCACACCCCATGATATTCTGTGATTCTGTCCTGCAAGTGTGCGGGGTCAGGAGGCATGAGAATTTTCTTTGAAGCATATGGAAATGATATTCATGGGAGCCATCAGAACCCCCCCTTCCCTCTCCTGTCCCCAAACTTCAAACCAACTGCATGACTCCATCCCAAGGCATGCTGCAGGTCACAGTGTTCATCTTGAGGGTAAGGAGTGGGAACCTGGAATTCCGGAGTTTCAGCATGCAAGGCCTAGTTCCTGAGAGATCAGAATACAGCTCCCTCTACTGGCTCAACGGCTTGGACTGAGACTAGGGGATTCAAAGAGGTCCGTATAGAAACCCTATGAATAAGAGAAACACAATGCATCACATCCAGTTTCAAGAAATTCTATACATGTTGGTGTGTCCCACAGTGAGGGTGACTCCAGGCTTGATTTAGATAGATAGATAGATAGATAGATAGATAGATAGATAGATAGATAGATAGATAGATAGATAGATAGATAGATACATGCATACATACATACATACATACATACATACATACATACATACATACAT